TAACCCTCATGAGCATAACACTATGAACGTGCGCGAGTATGAATTGAATGAAAGAATAACAGCCATATTCCACTAGTTCTGGAAGATCTCACGTATAATTATCTAAGCAACCAATACGATTGTCGTTGGTTAGTTAGCATTGAAGCGTTAACCTAAAAGTGGCAGCTATGGCTTTAGTCAGAAGTGTGAGCATCAACAACGGCTAGAGACAGATATAGGAATAGGGAAATAAATGCCATCAATACGGTTACCAGGTGGCAAATTATACACAAATAAGAGGTAAAATATAAATAGTGATGTCTTATCGTTAGTGTGTGTGCTGCTGCAGATGCCGTCTGCTATATGCGTTAGAAGGCGGTAATATCGCAGATTGTCTGCTAACCGCAATGGCGTGATCACAGAAAGAATATATCTAGCAAATCCTACTGCGTCCTGTCCAACATTCGACGTTCGAAAAAGTGCTCAAACTGTTTTAGCCAATTTACAAGAAGTAGTCTGCATAACATCCAATTACCCAACCGTTGGCAGATGTGGCTGTATATTCAACTGTGGCGAGAAGCTATTTATGTAGACGATAGACTCATTGTGAGTCTCGAGTAACACGTAAAAACGCCCTGGTCCAACCAAGACGTTAACTAAAGTAAAATTAAACAAAATACAACTCAAGTGCAATATGTGCATACCTCAGTCCTAGTAGAACGGAGGCAAATCACACGGACGAGCCAACGTGTGAGTGCTTGCAACGAAAATTGTTGGACCTTGAACACGGAATTTCCAAACTGCATTCCAAATCGAGGAAGCGTTGTAGAGTCATTGGACTCCAGGTATAATTGTTGATCACTACACCCAATTTGTTCAACCGAATGCACGAACGAATGTGGAATATTGTAAGCAGCAAGCGTTTGGTAGCCAGGAGTGAACGCAGCCCATTCACGCTAGCGGCGTCATCACTACCGCTGGCTTTTAAGATGAGAATGCTTGAGGGTAGACGACCAATCTAAAGGATTCATTACTGTTCCTTCGAATCCGGCACACACACCATGATATATATATATATATATATATATATATATATATATATATATATATATATATATATTCTCTTCCGCGTGCACTAGTAGTTTATGCACCTGAGCAACCGTCCTCTTGAACAACCCACGGAATTCTCACCGATCAACTTTGCATTTGATGTGCAACACCTGAAATCAACATTAGTTCGTCACAAACTCACCTTGTTCATGTCCTGGTAATGTTCTTTTCGGCTTCCCCGAGTGGCACTTCCCTGCACTAAGTTGGCGGTACAAAAGCTGTATCATATCATGAAACTTTGTGCGCCAATTGGAGCTTTGGGCTAAACACTTGGAAAATATTTTAATCAGGTAAGACTGCGATCTCCGCTGCTGGGCAGTGATCGCCCTGCTCCGCGATCTGTCTCTTTGGATCCGCTGTTTCGCGCAAGAGTCGGATAACTTCGCGGGACCAAATGGGCTTCCTTCATCCTTATTCGCATACTGGGGTCCACCTCTTCAGACAATTTGCACAATTTGTTAGTTAAACTGTGTGAGCAGTAAACTGTTTTAATTGATCGGAGTTGCTCCCTTGTAGTCCCTATTTTCAAGGGAACTTCACTATCGGAATGCAACAATCATAATGGTATCTGTCTGATCTCTCACCTCAAAGCTGCTTGCCTCCGTCGTTCTTCCTAGATTGACTGGTGCTCATGAAGGTCAGATTCGTGAAGAGTAGGTCAAGTCTTATCAAAGTTAAACTGTATTGACCACGCCTTTACTTCGCACCAGTTATTGAGACACCGCCATCTATATTGGAGACGCACCTTAGTTGTGTTCCTGGACGCTAAGTTTCCTTTGACTCGGTGGGTCGATGTACTGTTTAATACTGTTTCACGGAGAAACGTGTACTCAAGAAATAGGTAACCACTATGAGAACGCTTTCATTTTGCAGTTGAATAAGGGTTTTCGCTTATGATTAATTGTCTCATCCTTCGCAATTTTCTGCGGTGTGAACCAGGGATATCACCTACGATGCTATGGAGACCGCGTTCACCGGAGACGACTTGGAAGATGTAGTTATTTCCAGGTGATGAATTATGTGATACTATGTATTCCGATGCTGTTGCCATAGTTTGTGACAACTTACAACCATGCGTGGCATTACTAGACAGATTCGCACTGGCTACCACTCCTTTCGGACTTTGATTTGCTCTAAGATTGTCGGAGTTCGATCCTCAGTAAAATCGTGATAGAAGTCGCCAAACATTTAATTAACCGGGCGGCCATATCAACGTCTGTGGAATAGACGATAAGACCTCGGACCCTATAGCGGCATTTTGTGGCGCTTTTGCTCAATTTCGTTACTCGTGGCGCCGATACGACATCGCTCTCGCTCTGAAAATTCGAATGCTGCGGTCCATCCACCTCTCTTATACAACTATGATACCTGACTTGCAATATGTCCTGTATGGGCACCGCTTGAGCGTGTTGCGGTGCCTTGTATATGGTCCTGGAAGAGGAAGTGAATCGCTCAACTCTGTTAACTCACTCACCAAGCCTCGACGGACTCTCACGCGGCATGTTATTTGCACGAGCGACGTCTGGGTGGCAGAAGAGGCCAGCCGATGATTTGGTCAAAAGGAATAGACGCTTTCACTTCGAACTTTACCTCGTTTGGTGCCTCCCCTGATTCCTAGATTGGGTCCCGGAGGACGCTAAACACGTTGGTTGGATGCATTTGTTGACGTGATACCTTACCGACTTCAGTTTCATTTGTGTTGTAACTTTCTTTATACATGCGGGAGAGCCCATGATGCGCTGAGGCTTGTGGTGGTTCGATCGTGCAGATCGTCGACCCACTGCTGCTCTTGTTATGTCATGGGCTCATGTCCTGGACGCCTCCTTGTGGCGACCGCTGGGTGGGAGTTGGGTTACGCCCTTCTTCTAGCTAACAACCAGGACACACACCAATTCGCATGAGTCAGTGAACTGACCATGTGCTAGCTTTGCTGCCTTTCGGATGTACATTTAACCCAAGGCTTTGGCTGAGGACCCGAGTCGTTCTCCGGACAGGTGTGTGCGCCCTGCCTGTATCCTAGTACATCCTCTTCCGAGGTTAGGAAGTGGTGGCTGGCCTTCCTCCCTTGAAACCTAGCCATGTGATACAACAGGTGCACGGGTTATAAGCTCACAGATCGATTGGCATAGGGCGTGGTGTCTGACGGTCCGAGGGAACCTTCGGGTGCTCAATGGTTTGCTACCGCCCGCTTCAAGCCAGACAGCCCGCTAAAACCCTCCTGTGTCTGGCCGTGGTCGCAGGTGCGTATCCTACTACGGTCACAAAACATATATGAATAATCCTAAATTGCGGAAGTGACAGGCGCAGATGGTTTGTAGTCCATCGACATCGAGCGCATGGTGCTGTAGCACATGCGGTCGCGAGTGCCTGAGTCAGGCAGGCGTAGTGAGCTATGGTGGAGGCCACTCGGGGCCAACATCGAAACGACGACGGATCCTGCTGAGAAGGTAGGCAGAACCGGCGCTGCGTATGTACGTACGCTGCATTCGATTTACTAACCGCGTGCTTGCATGCTGTGTCTTTTTATTTCAGGCGGTGGGTTTGCTATATTGTCCTAACACCTTTTTATATAAATGTGTACTTGAACTAATTTCTATAAACTTGCACACGTCCCTTAAGCTACTTTGCTTAACTTCGATAGCAGTCTTAAAATATATTTTCTGACCTCTTGAACTTATCGCGGATTATTTCGTAATCAATTTTTTTATACGCCTATTTATTGAAGAGTTGTGTCTCCGTATCTATATGCATTATCCAGTTTATTTTATTTCATCTTGTCGTTCCAGGTGATTGGCTGTTGCTTGATATCCCCGGTGTGTCTGCGCTTGATGTGCATGTTGACAAGGTGCCTACCTGTCTATTACCCACTACCTCGTCCATACTGGCTCCAGGAGACAGTTGGTTGTTGCTGGAGGGGACGGGGTGCACGGTCCTTGTGGTCGTGCTAGGCTCGAAGAGTGGTTCCATGCACTCAGTGTGGAGCGGACTATGGTCCATCCACCGCCTTGTGTGCGCTTAATTTCCCAAATACAGCGTGCTTGTGTTTGCCTGTGAAGGAGTGTGGGCCGGCTCCGTTGATGAAACGTGGTTCCCATCCACATGCCTCTTGGTCTTATCTCTTCGGGTTTACACTGGATATGGGGTGTGTGGTTGGAGCTGTAGGTGGTGCAGCGCAAGCCACCCATTGTACTTCTGTAGGCGCAGGCGTCCTGTGGCTGGCCACATAGACAAGCAAATCCGAAACCGGATACCGCCAACCAAATTTAAAATTGCTGGTCAACGACTATTGTTTTTGCATCGTTACCTTGAAATTTGGGTTCAGCAGGTGTATTAAATCTTGAGTTCCTCCTGATGAGTGTCTCAAGACTCCACGACGAAACGCTGCCGTCAGCTTTCATTGTTGACTATCCTTATGCCACCCATGTTTTTTTCTCTGCATTTTGCTCTGAACTTCAGCCCATGTACACTTTATGCTGCCTTGTTTGCAACAACTTTTTGCGTTGTATACTAGATCTTGATTGTTCCTTCTATGCTCTTTGCCTTTCTTTGGGTCTTATGTATCATTCATAGTTCACGTTGCCACTATCGAATCTGTTTACTTTTCTGGCACTTTTGTGACTGTGTTTTTTCTTTTACTCCATCTACCCACATCGACTCCGCCTCTTTACAGACATAATCCGCTTTTGTGTGCGGTTATGGTTTCTCACGGCTTTTCTGTTTCAGTAACCGTACTTGTCCTGTCATTGCCTTCGAGACTGGTTCCCATCCTCTTATCAAGTCCTTACCTGCTTGTTCTCCTATTCAAGACTGCGTTTCTCCTTTTTCTCAATGGTTCTATCGTACGCAGTACATCCCTTTCCGTTGTTATTTTTCGTTTATTCTCTCACACATGTTTCGCGTTCCCATTTCAGTCCGCTTCCTACTTGGGTGCACCGCTTCCGGCTCGATCGATACTCTTCTCCAAAAGTAACCCAGTTGAACCTCTCCAATTTGGTCGGCCTCATGCAACGCTCTCCTCTGTGGTGAGAAACATTTTCACGCTTTTGTGTCATGCATTAAGAGATCATGAATTAATCTCTCGTTGGTGACTTGTTACACCGATACATTCGACTCCGGGTGGCTCTTGGTTAACCACTAATGTAGCCTCATTTGCTTGCGTACTGCATTCGTTTTCTGGTGCTCTGAGGACAAGCAGAGTTGTGATAAAGGTAGGTCTTTCAGCAGCGTTGCCTGGAGCTAACGGGGCCGCTCTGGCAAGTTGTTCAACCGCGAACATGTACCACGTACTAAAAACCCAGCACCCGTCCTACAATCTGATTTGAGCGCGACGAGGGTGTGCGAATTTCGATGAGTGAAACCGGTTGTGACGCGCGATCCCCTCGAGGACGTTAAGCAGGTTCGTGATTTGTTCTATTCTAGGCTATAAACCACGGCATGTTTGACGTTATTCATAAGTCAGAGTCTCTTTTCAATCGACAACTTATGGTTTGCGAACAACACATTGTTTACGGGCTTGTGAACTGGGTTACTTTCGCATCGTTAGAAGAGGTGGATATTTCGAGTAGTTAAAACAGTCTGTTCCTTTCGGTAGTTTGAGGAACACACTGAGAAGGCGAACCCTAGTAGATGCGCGCATTTTTTGTATTGTCTCCTCAGTAGCGATACGATATCTATAAATGATTTGTATAGCGTTCAGTTGGTGTTACCAAACCAATCAAGTATAGTGAGGTGGACGGCAGCGATGATCCTTAGAACAGAGCAACCATGGGTCAACAACTGATTGCTTTTGCACACACAAGGCGGATCTTAGTTGACATCTTGCCACGGCCTCGCCGAACCGCATAAAGCGGGGAGTAAGAAGGCATAATAAAATCCGAAACACGCAGCTGGGGTCTGTCGGACGACGGGTCACCAAAATATGCTTGCCTATTAATGGGGTTGGCGAATTATGGAAGCACGAAATATTGGGCGAGGATTGGTTGATTCCACGTTAATAGCCCTCATGCGGAACCGAATTCGGCAGATGCTTCTTCACTGGAATTTGTAATCCTGACTGTTCTGCCTATGTAGCAAACTTACCAGTTACTCAATGTGGGAAAAGCAATGCGATTTGGCCCCGATGGTTCCGCTTCCTTTATTATAGTTAACGACATTTACCGTGTTCTTCTGTTCACTACAGTCTCCGTGACGCGGTAGGTTCTCTTAATAACAAAGTTTATGCGCTTAGTTGCCCTTGTTGTGACGATGTTATTATTAACTGGGAGCTCTAGGTATACGTTTTTCTTGGGTGCCGTCAACACTGATTTTTTCAGCGGTCTGATTGGGCTATGCTTCTCCATGAAGCGTTTTTCATGCGCCCTCTGGTAATTGTCTCGCGTTCGCCAGACAATCACTCGAGCAATTATGCGTGGCGTGAGTGAATAAAGTTTTCACTAATTCACACTCGTGACCCATCGGTGTAAAACTGCTAATCTACAGATATTGATCAGATCCTGTTGGCTTCCGATATGCAGACTGGCTCACGAACCCGATATCCTCTCGGCCGATGAGAAAGTCTAGGCCCGACAGACGATTATTCGTCCTTCAAGTTGTCGGAGACGCTATTAGGCTGGTGCAACAAGCAATGAATTTGCATCCTCGAAGAACGATAGTATCATAGACATATCGTTTGTAGTAAGGAGGTTGAGAGATCTCCGCGCTTAGGCTTTCTTCTAGTTTTATCATGAAAAAATCGGCAACTTCTATGCTAAAATGACTGCCCAGACCCATTCCATCGATTTGACGGTATGTGTTTTTTTGGAAACGTAGACCAACCTTTTCTATGTATATCATCAGCAACCGGATTAGTAAGTCTCTGTGTATTTGCATATGTATTTGGTCCATGTAATTGACTGTCTCGATCCAAGTGGCCAGTATTCCATTCCCCTATTTTTGCTTTCATAGCTAATTATGTGTGCGCTTCGCTTAAACTGTATTAGTGAACCTAGCGCAGATAAGCGCCTTACTCTTATTGGTATCTATCCTGTTCATAACTAGTATACGTAGAAGCTCATCACATCCCACCCCCGGAAAAGCACCGCACAACGATGTAATCCTTTCGGGCATCGTCATCTTTGGGCACTACATTTTGCCCCAGCACTGTCAGAACCCGCTGGGCTACGGGGGGGGGTACTAAAGACGGTGATGTAGCAACGCTATATCGCATCTAGTAACTTCGTCACGTCAACCGTTATCGTTTTCTATTAGCCCATTGGTATTCACCGTTTACTATTAACAGTCGGGTTGCAGGTTACAAATGGAATCCGCACTGTAGACGATCCCCAAAAGGATGAAACCGTGAGAGAAGGTAAACGATCATTTTGAATTGGGTCAGAACTGAAAGCACACCAAAACACATCAACAGTTGGCTGCGCTGTGGCTAGGTCACGAGTCCCAAGGGAGCTTTAGGGGTTACTGTCAGTTGCTTCTATACACAAAATTTGGGACGGCACCGATTAAGGATCACGGCCTCGGCAAACTTCAACACACTGGTGTTTTCGTTTCGGTAGACAACCGTAAACCTTGAGTCAGCGTCAACTCGATGAACTGTACTGATAGCCGTCGGTGATTCAGCGCGTGATGCTAAAGCCTTCGGGATGTGTTTTGCACCTTCAAAGTGCTGTTGCAAGACTGAGCCAACGCACCTCCGGTTTTAGCCATTTCTGAACAGCCACTGGAAGTGGTGGATCGCTTCACTTACTTTGGTAGCTGTCACCTCTGGTGGTCACATCACTGAAAAAGTTAGTTCGCGTCTGAGCAAGGCCCGTGTGGCTTTCCAGAAGCTCATCCATCTATGGAGGCAGCGAGATATTAGCTTGTCAGTGAAAGGTTGGGTGGGTGACGCTGTAGTAACACCGGTCTTGCTTAATGGATCAGAGCCTTGACCATTCCGCGGCGAAGACATTATACGGTTGGCCGTGCTTGACCACCGGTGTTTGCGGAGTATTGCTCACGTGTAGTAGGAACACCGAGTGACCAATGCTGAGGTCCGCCAGTTGGTTTTTGGAAAGAACTCTTCTGCAGCCTCATTCGAGTGTTTTGCTAAATCTTAATCGCTTGTGTTGGCTAAGCCATGTCCTCTGTATGCCTGTTGATCGGCTTCCTCGGCGTGCATTATACACCGTGGCTTCACCAAATTGGCCTCAACCGTGCGATGGTCAGTACATGAGATGGCTTAGAGGCAGGAAGAAGTTGACTGACACTTGGTCAGGCTAGTGCGTGCCATCTTCGTAGATGGGGGCCTCGGGATAGCCCATACCAATGGTTAGAGACTGTATCAGATATGACGCAATCACACAGTCAGTGATGTTGTTGCATTCGGCTTCTTGCATCTGGTTGTTTATTTTCCTTCCATTCTGATTTGTTTAACGCATTTCCTCCCCGCTTTCATTTTCTTTACATTCTATTTGCTTTTATCCCCACTATCTTGCTGTTGTTGCCTATTAATATTCTTGTGACGTGAGTCGTTGCAACTGGATCCACCGCAGTTCGATACGGCGTCTTACGATGGATGACGCCATCTGTTTGCCTTCTGCCCTTTGTCCTGTACGGCGTCATCGTAGCAGTTCGCTTGGAATATGTTCTCCCATCCGCTTACACAGACAATCATCTGTTCAACCAATGCACCTACTTCCGTGGCTACAGACGAATTAGTAAATACAATGTGCCATGGCGGAGATCGGTGATGTAGATTTGATTGCACGGATTGGAAGTTTTCTGGTCGTCCGAAAAGGACAGAGTTCTGCAGCTTCGTATGTACGGCGAATATCTGTGTTCACCCGTCTTTTTAGCTGTTTTCTATGTAGCAACATTCTATTTGGAAAAGGGGTCGAAATCTTGGGCGAGTTCATCGCGAATAAAAAGGTAGCCTTCACAATTTCTGTGGAACACCTCAACTCTGACCGTGAATTCTTGTGGTCTAGGCGTGCTGCTGAGGTGGAAGCCGTTGCGTAGGTTGGAAACCGCCGCAGTTTGTTTCGTCTCATCAAGGCCACCGGTTGCAATTCACATGCCATCAGTCAGACAATCTTTGAGCTAGCCAGTATAAAAAGCACCAACTTTCAGCATCAATTGGCGCGCTGGGGAGAGTACTTTGCTCTTCAATTTCACTGCTCGGTACAACCCTTTGTGACACCTTCATTTCCATCGGACGGTGCTTGACCTGTTCCCACTGACCCTTCCACCGATGCATTCCGATCTTTGAAACGGCATAAGGTTTCCGGTCATGACAGCCTTCCTCCGGCTCTTTTCAGAGATGGCGGAGATGAACTTCTCAACGAATTGCTCTCGCTTTTCATGTGGAGACTCAATCGTTGCCGCTCCTCACATGAAATGTCCCACAAAGACTGCGCTAATTGCCGCGGAATCTCGCTGATCTCAGTAACTTCCTAGATTTTTGTGTCCATCTTACTTTCCAGGCTTTCTTCCATCAGAGAGAAATTTTCCTAAGAAGAACAAACCACTTTTCGCCCAGGCCGAACTTTCCTTTATCACATCTTCATGCTCCGGCAAATTCTCGAGCTCCGCCACGTCCACCGTCGGCCAACAATGCTAGCGTTCTTAGACATTCGCTCGGCACCCGATTCAGTAGACAGTGCTTCTTTGTGGAATTGTTTACTAGGGAAGGGTATGCCCGCCAAGTTTGTCGCCATTCTGAGGGAACTGTACAGTCACACGCCGGGAAAATTAGCGCTTACGGCGGACTTTCCACTTCGTTTTCTGTCACCATCGGCGTTCGCCAAGGTTGCCCTATTTCACTTTTCTCTTCAATTTTGCCATCGAAGATATCGCACAACGAGCGCTAAACGGTGTACAGAACTGCTGTGTTGAACTTCTCCCTGGCGCCAGAATCGCGGACTTAGACTACGCCGAAGACATTGCTTTGTATTATGACGGTCTGTAAACCGTCCATAACACCTTATACCGCTTAGCGATTCACGCATCCAATTTCTGCTTGTATTTCACCCCAGCCAAATGTAAAGTGCTTTTTCAGGATTGGCAGAGACTTGCATCTGCGCTCACTATTTTTGGTGACATACTGGAACAAGTGGATTGTTTCACTTATCTATGGAGTCGCATCACGGCTGGTGGCGATGTTGGAGATGTGGTTTCACAGCGCATTGCAAAAATCCCACTTGCTTTCATCAACTGAGACATCTATGGCGTCGTCGTGATGTCAGTCTCACGCTCAAGGGCAGAGTGCAATGCTTCTATCAGTACGGTCCTGCTGTACGGCTGTGAGACCTGGCGTGTTCGCTCGGAAGATATGAGACAACTGTTAACTTTTGACAACCGCTGTTTGCGAGGGATTGTTCGTGTGTGGTGGTAACATCACGTAAGCAATACGGAAAATCGTGAACGCGTGCCAGGTGCGAACAGTTCTAGACTTCATAACATTGTTCTCCGATACCTCATGCATTGGCTAGGCCACAGATACCAGCCTACTGCCTTTCCTTGCGATTGGAAAGGTTTTGCGGTGGACGACCAATAACGTGGAAATGGAGCATGAAGAAAGCAGCCTCAACTTAGCATCAGTCGGATCAGCGCGCCTCCCAGTTTGGGGATCACGTGGCTCAGATTTTCTTTTTTTGCCAACGTTGGATGCGATTGCACGTAATAGTCGTCGGTTTCGCCAGTGTCGTTGTACCGTCTTATCTGTTGTTTAATCTCCAGTATATAAAAAGGCAATAAACTCAAAACGGCTTGTGTGAAACGAAAAATGTCCTGTCTCTTTTCTTGTTTTCTTTCGTGCGCTTATTGTCATTCTTGTTACCATGGTTCTGATGGTACGTTCTCTGTAGAAAGACAGGCGGAGCTAGTAATAAGTACCAGGTCGACTGGACGAAAACGTGACCCATTGGCCTACCCACGGGGCGATTCGGAGACTAACATTCAAAGCAGTAGACGACCCATAAATTATCACTTAGATCTTGTTCAAACTGATGCAGGGAATTTAATACTTTTAGTCTAGATTTGATGATTTTCTACTTGTCATTCAGCTCCACCTGCTACTCACTAGGAATCAGTACCTAACTATTTGGCTTAAAGCTCCAACCTCTTGCGGGGAAATTTTTCACAGGTTTCCTCGTTTAGTTTGGGTACCATGTGCTTCGTTCAACTGTTCGGTTATTTTATCTCCTCTTCACAGTGATCGGTTACGCTCTCTAATCATTGATGGAGTACGCCCGACCTACAAAAACACGCTATCTAAGTCGCTAGTGGCTGGCAGTGAGTGTCCTCGTGTCCCGTCGACGTTCATGCCACATTTTTTTCAGTCCGTCGGATTTTGAAGCACTTAAACTCATCTCAGCGCACCGCGATTCTCCGAGTACTCATGGCTGACCACTACGTCCTCATCAAAGGATACCCGGGCACAGGTATGCCACACAGCTCTCCAGCTTATCTCGACTTCAACACCTTAATGACAGTCTAACAACTGTATTGACACACGCGTTATGTATTTTCGTCCTTTCTTCGATCAGGCAAAACGGAAACCTTAGTTTCTTTACTTCGGGTATTTTCGCACATGAAGAAGAAGGTATTGGTCGTGGCTCACACTCACTCGGCGGTGGACACCCTCTTATTTCGACTCGTCAATGTGAGTTTTCGGCTAGTTATCTCCGTGTTTCCGAATCTACTTCCATCTGCCTATAATCCGTCCATCATGTTTCCACCTGTTTCTGTTGCTTCGGTTTAAATCTGTACCCGAGTTGTGTCAGGATTCCTGAACCTTTAAACTCGCAAGCACTCTGTCGTTAGTGAAAAACCATCCACTCGTCTACACCTTATTGTCTACAATGTGAAGCAACTACACCGTCTACCCTAACTAACGTGCATCCTCTTGAAATTTCATCCGCCACCACCTCTGTTCGCAAAACCCCAACGACTATTTTCTTCCATGGAGGATTGGCCTTGTGACTGCAACTCGTACCCGCGATGGATCGGTATTATAGTGGCTCGGATCAGAAGGACAATCTTCTCCCGGTGACGTTATATTAGCAAACCGAAATTATGCCGGCATATTGTGCGCTTTAAGCAACCTTATCATATTCAAAACATGAGTTCCCATTATAATTCCGACTAAGAATATCGAAAGACGAATGTTTCAGGATGACTTTATCATTTCGTACGTTCTCGCCGTACATCTATGTACGTCTTCTGATATTTTTATTTTTCACATCAATTATTGCCAGACGAACTCTGTTCTACGCTTCGTGTTCTTTTCCGGTAGCTACTTTTACGCACGTAACCAGTCACTTCTCGCATCATGACAGTATCTCCGACAACGAGATAGCTGGATCTCACGTTTCACCCTTGTTAGGTATGTTCATGCACTTGGAGTTCAGCTATTTTATGCCAAAATAGTATCTGACTTCTGTAACAGAAAAATTCCTATTGAAGTCTCAGACAAGGGACCGAAGATAGACAAATGTTTTCGATGCTTCACCGTCAGACCTGTACAATCATATGAGTAAAACCGCAATGGGCGTACTAGTGGATTCGGATAGTTCAAAAAAGGATTAGCTCACGAGCTGACCAGAGTCATAAACCAGCAACAAACGCAAGCGATAAGCGCCAACTAGGTTACAGGTGTGGTTGAACGATCGCAGCTGGCCTCTGAATCATCCGTTTTGTCTGGCCAAAGTAGCTTAAGAGCTTCGATCAGTTTCTTTTGTGCACACAAAGCGATTGACACAATTGAATGCTGACCGCCTCGGTTGTAGCTAGGGTGCTAAGGCGTAGGCGTTTCGATTGGAGTGGAGGAACCCTGTATAGTATTCGAAAGACATGGATTAGGTCAGCCTCGCCCATTATCAACAGGATGGAACATAACAAAGCTAGCTATAGCCCTGATGCCGCCTCGACTCAATCAGCGTAAAAGATGCGCTTCGGCAGGTGCTGCGCCGTTCGGCCGATGTAGGTGACTCCAAAGGCGCACTGGTACTGATAAATGATCATAGAAGCGGTCAATGTCGGCAACTTTGTTGTGAGTACGAATAAGAGGTTCAGTTGAGAAGTTACACGTAAGCTTAGCTGCTGAGAAAGTTTATTTAACAGCTGTTGAGCGACTCCTAGTTACGCGCTCAGCAGCTGCGTCCCCCTTGAAATTTTGTCTTATGAAAAGTTCTTTCTTCTCGCTTATTAGAAACTGCACCAAGTCAGGTTTCTCTTGAATCTTCTTAAGAATGAAACGTTCAGGATATCCGTTTTCTGTATGGTCTGCAAACGGCTCCGGCTTATTCTCATGCAACTGCTTCGAACCATAATTTGCACTTTGGCCATTCTTGTCTCCGATCGAGCGCTGTGCAAACTTCACGCTCTTTCCGCATTCATTTCAGAATTGCGGATAAAACAAACTAGCGCTTTCAAATATAACTGCTGTTGGCTTGATTTATAATAAAAAAAAGGTTTACATTTCTTTTATAAGGTACTCATGCGTGTTCGAACACATGTTATGGGGGAGATGGATAACGACTTTAATGCTACCGAAATGTTTAGCATATCTGTTATGGTGGTCACTGTAAACTACCTTTGTACTTTCCCCTCCTTCATATAATTGATTTGATTTGTATTTTGGTAGTTCGCTCATTTTCGTATTCAGTATTGGTGAAATTTTTCCCCATTGTCTTGGTGCGATACATCGGCACACAATGCTCCATTGCAACGTTTCTCTATGTGTCTTAGTTTGCCTATCAGGCTCCGCATCTCCAAAGGATCGAGACCAAGTTCTTGCCACCATTCACCATAACTCATAGCGTTGAAGTATCGTGAAGCGCCTATGCGTCCTTTCAAGTGCCTCTTTATCCAGCCCCCGCCGGGTGGTGCGCAAAAATGAACAACAGGTGCATAATATACCATGTATAGCTTGTCTTGCTTTACAGGGTCCGAAAGATCGGTACATGAAACCGATGATTTGTTTATCCTTTATACAAATCAGGCCCAGATCTTGAATGAGAGTGCACTGCTTGAGTTGTTCGTCAATAAGTTTGAGTCCAACGGATAGCTTCTAGCATCTACAAGATGAGGTCCTGCCCTTTTTTCGGCGATTATCATCTTCGACATTTACGGCAATGTACAAACATGGTGCACTTCCGCGCCGAATCGCGACTGCACTCATGTAGTCACCGCAAGTGTTTGTTCGCAAACTAACTCCTTGCGGATAGTTTTGACGAGCGTCACTATTCGATGCGCAGTATTTTTCATTTATGGGTTCTTCGATCTCATTTTATTTCGGGCTGCTACTGCTGACGTCCGTATGTCATCGCGGAAACCATGGGGAATGGTGTCAACCATGAAACAGCCACTGTTGTCTTATCACTTCAACCAGAATGACATGTTTTGGATTAGGTTCTGAACACGTTCATCTTCCATTTAAGGCAATTTCGATCGTGAACTATGACCTAATGTCATTGGTTTTCAACTCCTTGTTAGTTTTGGACCTTTTCTGCCAAATTTCCAGGAGTGTTTTGATCTCACTAACCCAGGGGCCGAGCCGGTTTACCCGGTTCATCTCACAAAATCGGTCCATCTGTCCTAAGCCTCCTTATTTGCTCCGTATAAAATATCTTCTTGCGAAATGTAACAGTCTGAAGTGGTTTACTGGCATCTGAAATTCGCTAACAAATTGAGCAGTCTCACCGTTAGCTCCCTCATATAATGCGGTCTCGCTTGTCCAAATGCCACAGGCGCATGCTGATTAAGTTGATTACAAACGCACTTACTTCTCCGTCCTCGGTTCAGATCCAAAGAATTGTGGCATCACTTGTCGCTAAGCTTTTACCTCTCTTTAACACTTATCCATTGCAATTCTTCATCGTCATCAATACACGTTAGCCGAGGGTGAGCAACTCACTTCAGTTAAGGTGCCGCACTACATAAAATGATTAAACATTACGGACTACAAAAGCTAACAGAGCGATATAATGCCAAAATCATCTCCAACTCATGAATAATGCCCATGTTAAGATAAGAAGTCCAAAGAGCGAAGAGATTTTTTCAATTATTCTCATCAGGTCGTTACAGTAATAGGACAAAACATACAACGCGATAACTTGCTGTCAGCTTTGCTGAGAACAGCTAAGCCAAGAGTTTGAACGGATTCAGTAGGTCAGCTCGATGCCTAGGTCGATTCGTTTAGGGTAGGCCTCGCAGCCGTTTGTGAGCCACCTAGGGTAAGCCTCGCAGCCGACAGTAAGCCGTTAGTGTCCGACACCGAGTAACCGCCGCGTGGCCAGGGCAGGAGAAGCACTTGTACAAGGGCTCACTGCTTGCACAACTCGGGCTGGGTCAGGCTGATAGCAATTGCTTCAGTTATCTTCAAGAGATGCCTCCTGGGAGCTTTCGGATAACTTGGTGACACAGAGTAGAAGACCTTAAACGCATCCGATGTTCTACTTTTGTGTCCACTTAGGATCAACTGTTCCATGACACAGCTGTTTATGCTTCCACTCCTGCCTCTTCTTAACGACCCTGGGCAACGTTCTGCTACCCGTTTTAACAGACGCTTGGTTGTATGCCCGAGGTATCTTGCATTACAGGTACACGTAAATGGATACAGGACGTATGATTGGGACAAGACCGGGAGTCTGTCCTTGAGACGCGGGATAACAATGGGTGTGGTCTGAGTAAGCACATGTGGGTAGGCGGCTGGGTAGGTTTTGGACACTGCGGCTGAGAGTTTCCCTTACAGTAAGTCCAAGGTGACATTTTCTTTGAATGGCCCGATTGCAACACATCCTTTTTTGGTACGGTCAAGGTGATTTCGTAGCGCAGACGAATCGTGGCGTGCTTTCTGATAAACTGAACGGGGTATCATTTTTCTTGCAAGCTGCAATGTTTCTCTTCTTCCAGCGTTTCCGGCCTACCAATTCTGGCGGCACGATAATGTGATCAACTCACTAAGTTCCGCTTGTGTTACCAAGATACAAAGCTTAAAAAGTGTGTGTATTGGCCCACTCACCTCGGCTTCCGGAAAACGCTCCTCTCCAGGGAGCCGTCGTTCCGTGGCTTCAACAACTCGTCCAAAAAGCTAGTCTTCCCTGGCTTTCTCTCTCACTGGTGAAATGCAACGTCTTATGTACGCTGTTGAATTGAGCTCATAGACGAGAAACGTCTCTGTTTGAATCACAAATATTGATAATGTCATCCACCTATCGCTAGTATGAATCAAACGTTGAGATAACCGGCCACAAATGTCCCCGTTCAAGCTTCACCAGGAAAACGTCAGCAAGGAGCGGTCCTAGGGGGGACTCCATCGCCACACCGTCAATTTACTTGTAATAGATTCCATGAAATAGGAACTGCATGTTAAAGGTGCATTATAAAATAAGTTCTTACCTTGTGTTTGTCGGAATCCCCAGGTCCATATTCTTGGTGGTAATGTAATCACAAAAACACTGACGGTTTCTAGCTATGGGACGTCGGTGAAGAGAGATTCTACATCGAACGAATGGGAGCTTGCCACACACGTTCAGGTTCTCTATGTTTCACGAAATCAAAAGTCTCTGACACTTCTACTAGCCACTTCGCGACGGAGTGAAGGACGGAAGAGGACATACTAATAATCGGGCGTAGAGGTACGTTTGGCTTGTACACTTT